GATGCCTGCAGAGTGGGCTGTAATGTGATCAAAATGCAATTGCACTGCACTATAAAGCGTTTAATGTTCGATTTTTGTTGGGACCGAGTCTGAGTGCTGGTTATTCAGCTTGTTGGTGGCGGTGGCACCGTCGTGTAATGTTTTCCTGAATATAAAAGCTACTCGTGCAAGAACGTTCTCGTTGAAATATTTCGTAACAGACCTTCAGCTCTTGAAACAAACGCTGAGAGTTACAGTAAAACAGCAGGTCGCGATGCAATTTAAAAATGCCTCTATTCTATTAATGTATTATATTCCGTTATAGCCTGTTTTACCACAACAGAGAGCTGGACATCGGCAGGGAATAATCACGTCGCGATGCCGCTAATAAGCCGTGCGACCGGATCTGTCTCTCCTACACAGTCTCACTCCCAACTCGTCACGTTGTAACGCTGGGTCAGTGTCCTTAAGCTTCAATCCAGGTGCCCCTCTAGTCAGTGTGTCAGGGACAATTCATGCTAGAGGTTTACTCCATGCAGTGCTGAGTGCTAACGTGTCGGCCTCTCTTCATGACTAATAGCCGACGACGGAGAACGCGGCGCTCTCACGTATATACAAGTGTGACCCAAGGTTGTCCTTCACTACTGTTCCCACTCTATGGAAAGAACATTTGGTGAAATGATTTGTGTTGCATTTGATTCACAGTTGTGTAGGTGGTGAAATAGCTGATTTTTTCTTGTGGAAGTAACGGAAGGCAGTTAACGGTCTAAATGCTTGTATATCTAAAGGCTCTTTTAGCAAATTATCTTGTGCAGTGGGAGTTTAGGAGACACAAAAGAAGATTTTAAACACCTCTAAGTTCAGAGAATGGGTGTCCCGCAGACTTTTTTTTCTTTTTGAATCAGTGAGTGGATCAGATTTGACACAAAGCATACTCTCGCTGTCACACTGATGATTCACAATGAGCCCTAATCAGAGCTGTGTTGTGACACATAAGAGGCCGGTATCTCTGCAGGGGTGTCATCACGGCTAAGGCATCTTTTACTGATCTGATACTATGCATCCTCCCAACTCCAACTCTGAGTCAAATACCTGCAAACCCGGAGGAATGAGGATAAATGCACACTTTGATGAAAGTGATTTTAAAGTACAGAGCGTCCTCCCTTGGTGCACTTAGCGTTTCTTAGAGGTTGCGTCAAATCTCCAAATTGTGTTGAATTCGTGGTTCACAGAGACAAGTTCCGAGGTTCAACATGTTAGTGTTCTCTTTGCAAGCGTGTTCTCCTGTTGTCTGATATGCAATTCACAACAAAAGGAGTAGTACTTTATGTGCTTATATTTCAAGTTTGATGGGTTTCCTCAGCATTCATTTTACTCCGTCTACAGTGGTATGAACGCAAAGTTCATCACACTGTCTGTTGTTTAAGTGGTGAGTAGACAAGAATGTGTTTTTCTGTCTCTTATAAAAGCAGATGTTTGGGGTTTCAAGCTCGCAATAATCTCTATTACATCCAATAGCTTTTTCATTTTGAGAAAATCCCTCCGTCTCTCTTTCAAAGCTTTGCAAGAACACAATGGCGTAGTGTGGCCAGAAAAACAGCACTGAATGAAGCATCGGATTCTCGGTGAGACGGCCACATTGATGTGACTGCCTATCATCTGAGCCATCTGAATGCCATTTTAACAGACAACCCAGCATACGTTTTCAGAATAGCTGCAGATTTTTGTGCGGCAAACCTATTGACTTAGTTGCATAACTTGTGTGATGGCGTGGAGGAGTGGGTAAAATAAGGATATACGGTTAAAGGTTTTGCTGTTGCAAGCTAATTGGAAGCCTTTTACGTGCCGTTTACTACCATTTTGAAATAGTCTTGCAATGTGTCTTGCGATGTGTAATTGTTGATAAGTCGGTCAGCATTTCACCGGCTCATTATGGAGTGGAAGGCAGTGACAAGCACACATGCTTGACTAAACTGTGATCATCGTTCATTAATTCATTTGGCTGTTTTATCTTGTAAAAGTGACAAGATGGGAGAAAAAAAACTGTCATTGCTAATTAGCAACAAAGATGGTGACAGTCATCAACGCATCCGGGGAAACCCGAGCGTGAGTATGAAGCTCCAGCACGACCGAGCGACGAGTCGCATAAGACGGAAAGATGATCTGAGGTTCGGTGATGTTCGGTGCAGACGTTTGGTTCCCTGCACCGACAAACGGGACTGCCGTCTTTGAAGGTGACAGGAAAATCGGTGTGGCTTGGCATTAATTCGATGATGGATCAAGATCCCGCTCCCAAGTGCCTGGCAGGGAGTTCAGACCGCTCACGGAAAGTCCCTCTTTCCATTCCATGAAGTCGTGGAGCATGATATTAATGTTTTTCTCCTGACAGCTGCATGTTGGAGATCTCAGGAGAGCTTGATAAGCCCACTCAGATATCTTTGACTTTATCAGCCGGCAAGGAGCGGCATGCAGGTGCTGGTGGGGGAGTCGTATCCAAAAGTCTTTTACTACACCTTTTATTACAGAAGGATGCATTTGTCATTTAATACACTGCTTTTTGCACAACTTCACAAAGATATCTAAATTTTAAGGCTTCTTTCAGTTTGCCTAGATTTCATTATCATATTGAATTTGGTTTTATTGAAACATAAAGTTCCATCACCCTGAAGAGATACATGCTTCGTCGGTTGATGACAGATTCAATATTTTAACACGCATAAAGTTATCGTAATGGATTAAAGTGCAAAACAAAAAGCATTTGGTGAAACAATAGTTTGGTCCCCCTCTGATCTTCTCCACGCTTCATGAACACAGTCCCACATGAGACTGAGCTACTATTTCATATTGTCTCCCCACGATGTGTTATTTTGTGTACCAACATTGTATGTAAGACGTGATGAAATGCATAGTCATTATTTCAGCTCCAGTCTGTATGTTTTCAGGGACAGAGGGATGTATATCGCTGTGCATAAAAGAACTTCGTACATGACTTTTGCCCCACGGGATCGTTTGGGTTAAAACAACGGTGGAATAAATTGACTTTGTGTGCGGCTATTATCGTTTTATTTAAAAAAAAATGCACTGATGATTGTGTTGTGTGTTCCCAGAGTTACTCAAGCACAATCCTCCAAGAGAGCAGAAGGGCTCTTATCCGCCCACCGTGGCTGGATGAGGAGCCCGAGAGCAACGGTAGATTTATTTTAGGACGGAAGACTCCATTATTTTCTTTTCTTTTCTTTTCTTTTCTTAATTAACTGGGGTTTGTTTGAAGCTTGTGGACTGTTGTAATGATTCGGCGTTGCTGCATTTATTTTGAGGGACAGACCTTGTCTTTCTATATAATTGACTTTAGAACCGCAGTCCTCAAAGAGTCGCTCACACTTTGCAGATTAATATTAGCACTTATCCGTCAATAAATGGGAGGTTTGTCCAAGATTCAACTGATCTCATGGTAGAATATTTGACTCTGTCAATGCTTGATTCCATTTAGGTTTTCTTTAATCATTTGGCTGCAGCTTTTGTGTTTTTCGTGACTAATGTGAGCTTCACTGAAGTGTTATTGTAGGCAGCAGCCGTCATACTTCTTTATTACTGTTGCCAAGAGTCTGCAGTGCAGAAAGCGCACGGCTTAATAATCTATTCATTATATGATTCATCCGTATGATGTTACTTTTTTTTAAACAAACTAAAATCGGCAAATCAACACAATATGAGAAAATCCGACATTTCTCATCACGGTTGAAAAAGAACAACGGATTATTACAAGTAAAACAGAAGGTTCTCTTTAGCACAGTATAAGTCAGTTAGTGTCGGCTGGATCAGTTTTTGGCAGTTTGGCATCTCTCCTGTCGATTCTCAATGCATAACGAACATGTTGAATATCGAACCACAAGTCCAACCCAACTTTCCTTATTTCTACTTCCATAGCCCACTACAAAAAACAATTTCCAGTACATGCAGTCAGCAGAGGGAATTTGGACATCAGTCAATGATTTCTAAGATGAGACAAAGGGACTGCACATTTACATAATACCCAGCTAGAAGACAAGCGGAGAGCTGCGGCGCCAGAGGGAGGTGAGGGGAGCTGAGAGATTGATGGAAAATGCAACACTACACCTCCAACTGGGAAAAAAGGGAGCCAGCAATCTTATAAACAGTCCATAATCACAACCTTCCTCCAGACCCCTAAAAGAACCCAAATCACGTGAAGCGGGAAACTCTTTGATGAACCTTTGTGTTGCCTCTGCATAAAACCCGCACAGTTTTCACACTCTCCTCCAGTGATACTGTGAACTAACTTGTTAAAGTGAGCAAGGTGCACATTGAGGACATTGTGTACTTTTGCTATAAATCCACTATAAAGCCTCTGCTTTAGGACATTTCATTTGTATGTTTAACACAACTATCAAACCGACCTGCATACCACCAGACCTACTACACATTTACATCAAACGGGGGTGTTCAGGTCCACAGATCCTGTCTGGACTGAGTTGGTAAAGCTCCAGAGTGATTCCTCTCACCATGGTAACACATTAAGGAAAATTGGTTTAAATTGTATGGATTGAAATGTGTCAGCATGCTGAGGGAGAAATCCTAGATACTTTTCATGTGTAAATACATTTACAACAGAGCAGCATTATCTTTTGGAAAATGACTTTTTTTTCCAACGATTAATTAAAAAAACTTCGATCAAAGAATATGATAATATTTGTCTGTGTTATTAAACTGCTATATAGTCTCTATTTACAGATCTTTGCAGCAAATATCCTCTGATGGGATCCTAAATTAGGTTTAAAGAACAATATAGATGGTCCCACTGACACTGTGCAACTTTGGGTCTATTTTATAAGAATAAAACTCAACATGTCGCATCGACCTTCTGGAGAAAACGCCTCCTTATTAGCCCCCCTTTTTTTCTAGAGGGCTGTTATTACTCTTATCTTGTCTTCCCACCTCCTCCTACTCCTCACTGACGCACCTCCCTGAGCTCTGTCCACGGGCTAGCTGCGCGCTCCCGCCTGCGCGCTCCCGGCTGCGCGCGCTCCTCTCAGTCGACACGGCGAACGGGTGTCGGCGTGAACGTCGCCGAGGCGTTAATGGAGATTAACTGGGAATGCAATGCCGCTCGCCCACCGCCTGCTTCCTCCAGTCACGTATCCTCTGCAATGGAAGCCGGGTAAGTTCATACTTGCACATCTTCTGACGGACAGTTTGTGAATTCATTCCACCTACAATTGGGAAGTAATCAGAGCACAGCTTTAATTGATGCAGTTTCCCTCTTTGCCATTCCAATCCTCCCTTCGTCAACGTTGCATCTGTGCATTTATCCAACAGAGCACCTACTTTGCCTTCACCTTTTGTGCTGAGCAAAACTAACGTTACTTTAATGCATGTCATGAGATAAAGTCAGAGATCTCTCCATGATCCTATCTATCAATATATCTTCATAAATAAAGATAGACAATCTGTTAACGTGTTTTCCTCCCGTGGACTACACTCTGCATGCAATACAGAAAACCTCATTCAGCTGTTGTAAGAGGCTGATTTGTTCAGGATTTTGACAGTAGACCTGGCTCACCGAGAGGGAGTAACGATGGGAGATTCCTCTTCTGGAGGGTGAAACTGAAAGCAAAGACTCTCCCTGTGCAGCGTCGGAATGTGTGTTTGTCCGGCATCCTGCATCTGATCGAAATGAACTTCGACTTTGACTTCATTAAAGGACACAGGACCCGCCTCGGAACCTTGTTTGCTGCAATTATGCAGTTCTTTGACCGGCGGCGGATCCCACTTGGGGAGGTCTCTTGGACCAACCATGGAAGATCAAACCCACAACCGTATATGAAGTTTGATCAAGAAGGATGCTGTTTTCTGTAGAGATCTTATGAGAAAGGGGGAGCGGGGAGCCGTTTCAAAGGTTTTTTTTTTTTTTTGTGCATTGCAGCGTTCGTGCGAGATTCAGTCCGCCTGAGACAGTGAGGGGATCACAGGGGTGAGCGATTGGCAGTCTCCTATTCCTACATTGCCAGGAAAGAAGGAATTGCGGTTCTGTGAAGGGATGAGAACAGTTTTTTATGCGATAGTTTAACACGCCACTCACCCCTTCACCACCATGACCCGATACCTCAATACAGAAAGGAAACACCATCCCATATTGCTCAGTGGTATTGGATAATTACAAGTATATTTGTCCAAGATACAAATGTATATCTACGATATAGTGACATGTTGGTTGTAGCTGAGGACATAATATAAGGAGCCTTTCATTTAATGCCTTGAAATATTGGAGATGGGCTCCGCACTGTGCTCTTTTTGGCCCAGGGGACGCATTTGCTCCTGCTACTTAATTACAGTGGGAGGGTTATCGTGGAATGACATTAATGGACACTAGTGGTAGGTAGCCGAGGCAAACCAAGGACACATAGTGGCTCCTGATGATATAAGGCCCCCGAGGAGCAATGATTCAGCTCATCCTGTAGCACCCTACCAAGTGGACCGTAATTCGTTTCCGTGTAATCTTTCCTTCTTTAGGCTCTCGCTTGCTTCTGCAAGCTGCTTATTTCACTTATACTATTTGAAAAATTTGAGTTTCTCTTAACAAATTGAGAATGAAACACAGTTTATCAAGAAGTGAAAACAAAAGAAACACTTCATGTTTCCCACTCCTCTAATTCTCCCAGAGTGCATTTCTAAGAAAAAACAAGAGTTTCCGAGAGATTCATTTAAATTCTGTATTACTTAAATATCTGCACATCAAGGAGCACCAAAGTGAGAAATGAAAAAACTGAATTTGAGAAGTCCTGAGAAGGGAATATTTCACTAACATTGACCATACGACTTACAACCTCTTACTGGCAAACAAAACACTGTAGCCGCCAATTCAAATGTGTAGAGGACAAGGGTGATTTAGTGATTTAAAACGAGGGTTTACCCTCTATTTATGTTGTGCGGGAGTGAGGTGCTTGGGTAAATGTGTTATGTTTCTAACCTTGTGGATCTAAGTGGTGAAGTGAAGGTTAATTGATCTAAAAGGTTCAGAATATCTGAGCATGACTGCATGACGGGTTGGACAAACTATCCAGCTGAGGATTTTCAATTAGGCTTACAGTGTTTTTAAACCGCTGTTACCTTCTTGCTTTTGCTCTACTGATGTTTTCAAAGAATTCAGCCTAGATCAAAATAGAGGGTCTTCTGTTCTTTGGGTGTTCCCTGGCTGACATTCACTCTTATATATCAGTTTGTCCTTCTCCGGGACAGAGCTGTCTTTGCCTCATAATATAATTTCATTAGGAAAAAAGCAGCCGGCTTCTGCACTGGGCTGAAAATGCACTGACGGTCCTGCCACGTAAATTAGATTGACGAGATTTTTTTTTTTTTACCTTTTTCTTGCCTTGTGGAGCTTTTAAGTGAGCTCCTGCGGTCTGGCTGTGTCTCCCTGGCTAACAAAGCCCGGGCAGACAGATATCTGACGTACAGGTTTTCACTGTAATGTCAGACAGATATCTGATGTACAGGTTTTCACCGTAATGTCAGAGGGGAGCACCTCCGTCTGGACGCATATCTCACCTTTTCCAGTCAGGCGAGCTTTGTCTGCTGGCACTGCCGATTGTGAAAGAAACTGCATGAATCCTTCTCATCTAGCTTTTAAATGCCCACGCAATGTTTAATTAAATTGTCCAAATCCATGGGAAATGAGAATTCAAATGAAATGTCCTCATGGAAACATTAATTGTTAGCAGTATGCAAAAATAATGGACGGCTCTCTTTGTGGAAGCTTGATGGCATTTGAGAAGTCACACGCACCGGTTCCTTCACTGGGCTTCTTGTTATTGTATTGCGGCAGCACCATCAGAAGCAGGTGGAGGTGGAGACAGCACTCATTGGCCTTTGGCTGCCCTGCCAGCAGAAAGGAATTCTGGGATTATAGAGTACCTGACTTGGTGATGGCGAACAACCCACTAACTTTGAAAAACCTGGAGGCGCTTCATCTAATGGAATGGTTCAAGTCCACAAAAGTTAATTGACTCCTAATGGAAGAGTAAAAGCCTCAAAGCCCCACTAGCGGCGCCTAAAGGCTGCGGGGTCGACGGTGGTGGAGTTTGACATAGAAAATGCATCTTGAAGAAACCCATTGTGTTATTATTACCCGTCCGTCCATCCCTTCTGTCCCGTTTTGGACCACTCCATATTGATGGACTTGCGGGCATCACATCCATCCTGTAAGTGCTGTCTTCCCAAGAAAATGATTTAATCTGGTAGAGGACCATGTTTCTGTTTCTGTTGTAGAAAGCTCGTGCTTTGAGTTGAGTTATTTTTGCAACGTTAGGGGACTTCATTTTACAAAGTGCCTCCTTACATCCTCAAACTTCTCCCTTGTCCTCGTCATAATGATACGGACACTTTTGTCACTTTGTCACATAGTAAAAAAGGATTTGCTCAAATGACTGATGCTATGTTTTTTTATTTGTCTAGTTAAAGACAAGACTTTTCCCTCTTTTATTAAATCCAGTAACATTAAAGTTATGAGTAAGATTGGTCAGTTAACATCTAGATTTGGGTTCTCCACTTCAGGTCAGCAAAGGTTACCATATGCTTGTTGGAAGCCACCACAAATTAACATTTTTGAAGCATTTTTGGGATTGTCTGTGGATCGTATCCCTACAAGTTACCCTGCAACTGCTCTCAAATCTGGCAAGTTCAGATGCCTCATTAAAACATGGATCACCACCACAACCAAACCAAGCAGAAAGGGGCTTTTGGATGCACTTTTTCTACTTCATTTGAAGGGCAGACAGAGTGACCAAGCAACATCACCATCCTCAGAGCTGCTGGGATGGCAAAGTTTGTCAGAGTATAGTGCTGCAGGGCAGTGTACGGTACGTCATTTATTCTGCCGACAGGCTTTTAAGTGAACTAGTTTTGTAATAGGATCAACACAAATGAAGTGTTGAAATAACAATGGCCTGGCTTGTGCAGCATTTGTCCATTACTCATCCCATGAGGACTCGCGGTGACCTCGGCAACTGATTCCAGTCACTTTCTAAACTCTGCGTGTGGGAGGGCTGTAAATGCAGGCAGGATAATGCGAGTATTTGTGTGTCCTGCGGTTATGTGATTGTGATCACTGTGGATTTTCTTACGAGAGGATCACCGCAGCTTATTTTGTGTATTAGTTGCACTGCACACGTATGACCTAAAAGCACAATATGCATGTTCGGTAGGGTGAATAATGTTTTGTTTGTGTGATTGAAATTGGGCTGAGAATACTTGTTTCGTTCCCCAAATAGTTTTCGGTTTAGTTTTCTACCAAATTGTATCCCTTGTACATGCAGAACAAGTGATCTGGAAACAAATCCTTTGATTTTCAAATCTACTCGATCCCAAACAGAAATTCCAAGATTTTAGTAAACTAATTGTTTTTTAGTTTGTGAATAAACTAGACTTGATAGAATGATATTAGAGAAGTATTTCCAGACCAATGTAATATCATTGCAATTCAGTTTTAAAAAAGCAGCTTTTAGGTGCCCTTTTTAAAGTCAGTTATCAACACTCCTCGCAACAATTATGGAAGTACAAATAAACACATATGTAGGCTACATCTTGCATCTGTTGGTGTGTAATGTGGTGTAAGGAATTTACCCCCGTACCGGCCTAGCGTTTCATTTTCATTGTGTATTATCAGCTAGCAGTGGTAAGATGAGTAGAGGCTAATAGACCTGCAGAGAAGATTACCTTTGAAATCTGTTGGTCTTTACACCTGATAACATAATTCAATTGGTAATTTATAATATATTCAACCCCTGCAGCTATGTTACTCTCAAGCAAATTGAAATCATAAAGCTGCACGCTGCTGCACTCAAAGGCATTTTCTCTCACCTTGCAGGTTTTAATCTCACAGTGGAAAACACACAGCTCACGTTAGCAGCATATCAGAAAATAAATCAGAAACGTCTTTGGCGTTTCAAGAGGGGTCCATCATTCATTACCATGAACATGTTTGTTAATACACGCTGTATGGCCAAAACACATGCGCACTAACTCCTCTCATAGACCCACCTTGAACAATGACCCACAGAGCGTGCCAAAAATCTGCTTGTTTTATTTATTATTTCCCAGTTTCTATCCGGCATTCGTACATTTCCCAACATCCCTCTAATTGAAACATTTATTACCGGAGTGTGCCAGAACTGTACAACCTTGATCTGCATCAGAAAACCGTAAGGAGACTTACTAAATATGGGTCTGTTTCGAAGCAAATATACGCTGTATTGAACACCAGCCGTAATACCAAAGGTATGTTGTTGATGTCGATGCTGTTTGCATATTCAAGCTCGCTTTTAAGACATCAGAATATGCTGCTGAACAGCAACCGTTTCAATAAAAGAAACAAAGTCCCACAATCTTCCTCGTCGTCCTCAGGTTTGCTTGATGGAGGTGGCATTAGTGAGAGAAACGAGGACATGGCATTAAAAGTCATTTGAACTGTATTTCCGCATGAATTATGTTTATCTTTTTACGTGGACTCCCATCAGTTTAGCTATTTGCTTAATTGCCTCGACCCAGTCCATTTACACTAAGGTGCCCTCATTATAAGGAAACTCATGTGGAAATTAAGTGAATATTGGCAGAGCGTGCATGGAGTGCACTGGTTATCTTGGTGTTTACGTTAATTCCTTCTCACATAATGCATAGGACATTTTTAAATGGAGAAAAATGCTTATCATGTTCATACAAATTTCTTTAAATTTCCATATGATTGAGTTCATATACATATTCATGTGACTGACTGCTGTACACTGTACATGTTTGCAAACATTTTTTTTAATTTATTTTAATATACATTTTAAACTAACATTGGTTTTTGCAGTAACTATTTGACTAATATTTTAATATTAATGTATTACCCATGCCGGTTGGCAACTTGGTAACAAAATGTCGGCGGCTATCTCTAACAATTAGTTTCTACTCTTTTATAATGTTCGTAACTGCTGATGGCGTTTGTGCTGCACACACTTTACAGCACACATTTGAACTTAACACAATTGCACTTGTGAATAATTTAAAATGGAACCACAAAGTATTCCTCGGCAGAAAACGAATGCCTTCATGGAGTCCAGAAGAAACAGTTGATGACAGGTACCAGTAGCAATTAACTGTTTGCTGTACACTGTTTATTGCAATAATCATTTTTTTAAATGTGGTTTAAAAAATATGGTGTTACGGTATTATCTTAAAGATTTAAAAAGACTTATTTATGTGTTACTCAATGAGAGAAGTCGGTCACCAGTACAAAGTTGTATAGTGATTTAGTCATACAAGTGTTTTGACACAGCGTGTCAACTTTAGAGGACAAATTAATTTGATATAAGCTCAAAATATTGAATCAGACGTCTCTCAACCTCCCAGCATTCTAGCTCCTCCATTGATGTTCTTTTCCATCCATTTATAAAAACTGAGACATGATTGAAGTTTCTGCACACAAGCTTTATCACACGTGACCAACTTCCCAGATGCATCTTTCATGTTACGACCAGGTAAATGAACCCGGACTCGAGCGCAGCACACAGGAGTCACGGGTGAGGGTTTCCGGAAAATAACTGATTTATTCACACAGAAAAGGTGCACAGGGCCGGGTTGAGTCTGGTGGGGGTAATGACATCGGCGAGCAAGCAGGCAGGTGGGGATTCAGTAACACTAGGGCAAAAAACAGGACAAGGTGAGCAGAGAACAGCGTCTAATCCAAAAACGGCCTGAATGTATCAGACTTTGACACTTTGACTTTGACTTTGTTAGTTATTTTTCTCACTGGTATGTAAGTCCAAGACAAGCATGATTTTGTGACCTCAGATCATATATGCTCCGACATGTAACCTCCAGTGCACATACAACGATGATGATTATGATTTTAAGACTCATTGCAGTTAAATAACACATATTTACATAATTCACCACAAAATCAAAAGGATTAGTTCAAACAGTAGCATTCAAGTTCATGCAATGATGTGTCTTAGAACTATATCATTCAAGATATTGCAACAAGTGGTGGTAAATACAAATATCTGCAGCCTGAATATCATCTAAAGCAATTAAAGGTGGTTTACACAACTCAGACACTTGCAACAGCAAGTCTTTATGTGACCAATTATTGCCCCTGTGAGTATTCACTGTACACAACACAATAAAACATGTACCCATTTGGATCTGGTGAGCGTTTAATCAGCTACTTCTATCTTGTGCAGTGAAACACCAGCTGTGACATGCATGACGTGATTCACCTAACACAGTTCAATGAGTGAGAACAGTGACTGCTGCAAAGTGGACATGGCAGCAGTTGAGCCCATTCAGGGTAATTGGAATGAATGATATCAACCCTTTTGTGAAAGGCAGGCACGAGTATGCGGTTAGCACATATACAGTTAATTCAAGTCATTTTGATCCCAAATGGTGGTTACTATTTCTTTTTTTTTTATGAATCCCTCTTTACCTTCCCTAATGTATGCCATTTATTTTAACTTTAAAAATAAAAACTGTTTTTCATTTTTTTTTAGAGGGATCTCTTGTTCCCTTGATGGTAAAACTTCTTGCCAGCTTCAATAATCTCACCACCAAAATAATTAATAAAGCAGATGACAAGAGATAAAGAGACAGACTGTTAAAATGAATGATGTTGTGCCATCTTGGGATGCTGCAGTTAGTCATCTTTCCAAATCTGTCCGTCACCGTTTCACAACTCTCCTCCTGCACAATAAAACACTTGGCAGCCAGAAGTCTGCCTGGTCCAAACCGTTTGTGTTTCAGAGATCGTTATTCGCTTTGGGGACTAAAACCTCTGGAAATTGGAGTGAGGGAATATTTTCAACCTACCTTTGCCTCGTCATTCTCCTTGTTAACTGCGCAACCTGAATCCGTTCATCACCAAATGATTAGTCTGCAGCTTGGTATCACAGCTACATAACAAACAGGTCTTATCTGAAAGTGATCATGTATGAAAGGCAGTTTACACCTGAAGGGAGTAAGAAGGATCGTAGCCGAAACCCTCTCACGCCAGACAGAGACTGTGTGTGTCCCTTCCATCCGGCAGGAGGCCGGGGTGCATCCGGACGAAGACCTCACGCCAGCATAACCGTTTCTTCCCATCTGCAGTCGGGTCCACAACTGACCGACTCTATTTACACTTGACACTTTCAAATACACTTGACACCTTCACACGCTTGTGTAAAGTATAGTTATTGTTGCTGCCTGTGCACTTTATTTTTTATTATTTTATATTCTATTGTACATTTAATTGTAAATTATTGTCTGATTGTCAGATACGAGACACATTCCTTGTATGTCCAACATACTAAGAAAATAAATAAATGGTTCTAGAGGTTCTGTTTTACATACAGTTATTTGATAAATCTGCTGTTATCTGCAGTTACACAGCCAAAATGTCACTGAACAGTATCAGGATGGGCTGGTTCTTATATCTCGTCTCATTCTAAATAATGCATAGGTCATTAATATGTACTGTAAAAACTAATTAGAAAAATATAATTAAATAATTATGATTTGAAGCATCATCGAATGATTTGTCAGTAAGTGAATTGAGCAGTTTTCTCTGTATGCGGAATTCCTGCAGGGGAACTGTGTTTGGTTTGAGTGAAGCAGCGAGCAGACTCACTGGAGCTTATCTTCAGATGGCCTTGAACAGAGACAAAAGCAGATGATTTTCTTTTGTGCACATAAACACTGACACTGTAAAGTCCCGCTGTTAATCCACGCACACGTATGTGCATGCTCAGACGTACGCCCTCATAGACACGCCAACTATGACACTGTTTATGTCTAAATATACGTTGGTGCACAAATAAAAAAAATATTTTCAGATACACAGCTGAGAGCACTTCAGTGCAGCGACACAGTGAGCAGTATTTATCATTTACACAATTTTATTGTCTTTATAGACTGAAGAAACAAATATGCCACAGCAAGGCAATTTCACTAGAAGAGCTTTGAAACCATTTTAATTTGTGCCAAGGCAGCGTGATGTACTGTTCCTTCTCAGCAAAGGGCTTTATCACAGATGTTGGTGAAACTGACCTTGACAATCTATTAGAAAACATTTGCTTACTGGCCGCAGCTGCTGTTATCAAAACTACCTCTGGCCCTGTTAAAAGCGGACAAGTTGTGTGTGCAAGAAAAATACTAAGTAGGTATTCATTTATTTTAGAGAAGTTTAAAGAAAACTTCTAGCGATGGTGCTATTTGGCTCTTCAATAATTGAAAGGTTCCTCATGTCTGTATGCTTTATAATCTGTATAATTCTGTACAGCAACACCATCCCACCAAGCAAAGGGGGCCGAGGGATGACAGTGCCCACACCTTGAATTAATAAAAACAATACTCAGCAAATTCCTCTGCACTACCTCCTCACGTCTACACTGTTTAATTCGCACAATATTTTGATAAAACAATTTCAGCTGCCTCGATAGAGACCCGGGAGTCAGAGTTTGGCTGCCTTTGCTCCACCGCAACACTAAGTAAAAATACTGTACTACTTGTTGCTACGGCGACGGTTCCTAGTTATGTCTTCCGGTACCGTGCGAGGCGAAGGGTGAAGGAGCGCGGCGGTGACAGTCATACAGAGCGCATTGATTTAATCAAAGCGACTGTTGGTAAATCAATATATTTTTCAAACTAGCGGACCCGCAAACATTTGTTCCTAAGAAGCCATTCACTGCGGTTGCTGTGTATGTGCACGCGCACCCTGGCTGTTTCGTTACTTTTCCGTCGTACCGTCTTCACCAGCTCTCTTTTGTTTCCTCTCTCGCCCAGGTGTTTAAGAGTGGCAGAAGTGATGTGATGGCAGAGCGAGGAGGCAGGACAGAGCCGAGGAAACGGTCGGCTGCACACTGACAGACTGGGTGCAGCACGTCAGAGCCTGGACAGGTAGGAGGGGATTGCTGGATGTGGCCTTTGAACACAGTTCTTAATGTCCGTTACCTTTCAAGCAAATTTAAATAGAAACTTGAATTTCATCCAACTCTCCATGTTTATGTATGAAGTGCAGAAAGTTAAATCATTGGCTATGGCTGTTGGAATAATAGTACAATTCTCTAACATGCTGACTGACGGATTTAATTGCATGCCAGATTATGGCCAGCAAATTAATATACACAGCAGTAAAAAAAGAATTAATTAACTCCAAATGATTTGTCTCCTAAATAGCCTTTTTTTGAAAATGTAATTTCCCTAATCTCCTGTGTGTCTAACGCACATCTCCCTCTCTATTCCGCCTGCAGAATGGATTTCCCCAATTGCACTGAGGGGGTGTTTGCCACAAACTGCAGTGTCAACGACTCCCTGGACACCACGAAACTCCCTCCGAGTAAGATCCTGCTCACCATGACCCTGTCTGCACTGGCTATCCTGACTACATTCTTCAACTGCCTGGTGATCACAGCTATCGCAGTCACCCGCAAGCTGCACCACCCAGCCAACTACCTCATCTGCTCGCTGGCCGTGACTGACCTGCTGGTGGCCGTGCTGGTCATGCCCTTCAGTATAATGTACATCCAGAAACAGACCTGGCTCATGGGCCAGGTGGTGTGTACCATTTGGTTGAGCGTGGACATCACCTGTTGCACGTGCTCCATTCTGCACCTTGCCGCGATCGCCATCGACCGTTACCGGGCCATCACGGACGCGGTGGAGTACTCCCGCAAACGCACCGGGGCCAGGGCTGGCGCCATGGTGGCGGTCGTGTGGCTCTTGTCCATCCTCATCTCACTCCCTCCTCTAATCTGGCGGCACTACAGCGGGGACTCAGAGCAGGAAGACCAGTGCATCATGATGCACCATCACATGGCCTTCACCTTGTACTCAACCCTCGGAGCGTTCTACATCCCCCTGATGCTCATCCTCATCCTCTACTACAAAATCTACCGGGCTGCTCAGACCCTTTACATGCGCAGGGAAGCCAGCCGGGCAAGCCGTCACTCGTGCATGACCAATGGGAGCATGATCCCTTCATCCTACCCTGCTGGAGAAGGCGCCGACGACGGCGGACCTCCAAGCCCGGAGCCCGTAAGTCCGAGAGAAAAGTCCTTCTCTGAACCCTCCACGGAGGAGCCTCCACGTGAACGGGTGCGTGCATCGGTGAAGGCGTTCCAGAGCAAGTCGCGCCGGAAGGAGTCACGTACGGAATCGCGCAATGAGTCACGTAGGAGTCAGTTTTCCCAAGGGCCACGGATCTCCGGCTCACGGGAGCGAAAAGCCGCATCAACGTTGGGGTTGATAATAGGGGCTTTCGTTGTCTGTTGGTTGCCCTTTTTCGTCAAGGAAGTGATTGCCAACACCTGCGGTTCTTGCAGTACTTCGATGGAGATGGCTGACTTTCTGACATGGTTGGGCTACCTCAACTCGCTGATCAACCCCCTCATCTACACCATCTTTAATGAAGACTTCAAAAAAGCTTTCCAAAGACTCGTTAGGTGCAGTCACTACCTCTGATGGCACTGGCATTCCTGCGCAGCAACCCATCTGCACATGGAACCAAGAGGGGCGAGAGTAAAGGCTGTGGCCTACTGACTGAATAATGACTGTGTGCCTGAGAGACAATAATGACTGACCATCATCCTCAGATGCTCCAACAGGCCGAACAGCACCAGCAGAGCAACGAGCTTTCAGCCTGTGATTCTGTCAATGCTCATTGGCGTGTTTGAAAGGACACTGATATGCTGGTTTTTCAGATAACAGGCCATCGCTGACCTTTTCGAGGCCCGGGCTCTGAACGTTACTGATCAGCCCTATTAAAAGGCCTGGAGGTAGCTGACCATTAAGGCTTTTCCATCTAATGACCTCCCATCTCTCATGTACCAAGCTGCTGGCTAACGTGTAAAAAATACCCAAGCATACTAAATTGTGATTTCCTGTGGCTCCTGCTGTTATAGAGGGTGAGTGACGCGGTGATTGTTAACAGAAATTGTTGTTGAATGTGACCCTAAAAAAAATATAAATTATATATTTATATATTTGTAGATTGTTCAAGTTTTCTGTCAGGTAACGGAAGTGATACCGGCCGGATCCATTCGACAATCCAAACGTGGAAAAGGTTATTGACTGCCTTTCATACATTTCACAGTGCTGAATTTAATCTACTGTAAATGTTTTAAATGTTTAGGATTAACAGCTAAGAATGCCTTGAATGTGAATAAAATGTTTTATGACAAAAGACCAAATCATACCTTTTAATTACACATTCTGAATTTTAAAAGAAAAATACTTGGTGACCAATATAAATATGGAAACTGTCTAAACTGCCATTACTTTTTGACAGGGTTTAAGGTACTACTTTAAGTCATGTTTTACACAACCTGTATGCTCCTTTAAGTTATTTGAGGAGCAATGAAACCCCCCATATGACTCACACGCCGTTGCCACCATTAGGTCAATGAATTTGAGAATCACCAGTGCAAAAATACTCATTACTTGAAGCCCACTCAAGTACTTGGAATAAAGCTACTACTTCTTTACAGCCTCCAAGAGGGTACACGATATGTTGATGGAAATATTGTAGATGAGTCATGTGCGAGGGTGTGCTGTATGCCAGAAAGACAAAGTGTGTCATACATGCACATACTGTACATCTTACAGTAAAACGAGTATTTGTATAATGCTTCTGTCTTGGTATCTCACTGTTTCAATAATCAATAATAAACTGCCCACATTTATATGACGTCCCACTGATCTTTTCTGAGTTACTGATTCATTTCTCCTTTATGAGTGTGTGCATGGAGAGAATGATAGCAGGAGTACCATTAATGACAAGCTATGTTAAAAAAAATGAACATTGATAGTATATACACTGCAACCCAATATTTTACTGCCCCATTCTATTTGAAGTTATTTCCATATTCTGATGTGATGCTGCCCTCTTGTGGCTGTTAACAAGACTGCAGTCTTTCCAGTTGGCTTTACAGGTTCAACATTTGGCCATGACAGAGATTCATGAATCTGAGGACATGAAATTGATGAAATTCATGTCACATAGGCTCGGCTTAATGGGAAATATATGTTTGCTTATTTTTTTAAATATACAAGACTTACTGTAAAAGAGAACAGCAAATAAAACACTAAATGCCGGAATTTAGCTTCCATAGGCTAGCCAGAAATCTTATTACAGTATTATTACTTTACCCATATTTGGCAAAGAGAAGATGATACATATCACTGAATCAGCCAGGCCTTTAAAAAAATGTGTTAATTTATTCAAGGGTAAAAAATGATTCACTAACAGTAAATTACTCCTGATAATCAATTACTGTTGATGAGGAAGCTTTGGGGGGAATGCTCTGTTTTGTTACCGGCACTATTTGCTACTAGTTGAATTGTAAATACCTTTTAGACTGACTGGAGAGAGGATCAACAAGCTAAACTATCTTTGTGTTTTGTTCAAGTTTTTCAAAATTGTTGTACACCTTCTGCTTCGACATGTAATTGAATAAATACTTGAATAAAATTAATCCCTAATTGTGTAACTCTGTAACACTCCAAAATGACTCCTGGTGAATTCTAGCTTAAAATGGTTTCATTAATGCAATATTAAATGTCACAATAGTCTACTGATCTGATCGCTGTGAAAGTACTTAAGAACATAAGATATTCTGATTTTGACATTTTTAAAATTTCGACGGCCTTTTTGACCTCACATATTTCAACTTTTTTTCCATGAAATCTTTCAACCTAATCGTTTATGATTTTCTTTATAAAACATTTTTTTCAACCAAAATGTTTTCTTTTACTTTTAGATGTTTTTTCAAAACCTTTTTGACATATTATTTTTTGACTTTTTCCCCCATGGCATTATTCAACTTATATTTATGACCGTTTATGTTTTTCAACGACACATTTACACTATAACATTTTTTTCAAAGCATGTTTCGACCTAATATTTTTTACTCTTTTTCAAATAATGTTTTGACCTATTTTTCATCAAGAAACATTGGAAATGGCTGAACGTGATTGTTTGTAATTACGTGATTGCTGTAATTATAGGGTTGCCAGGTTTGTTGTGGGATACGAGGACGCTACTTTCAGGTCTGGCAACTTTGACTATGCGCTGGATACAGCAGACAGTATGGCGGACAGCGAAAGTGATTTGGAAACAGACAGACTAGAATTAGCCCTGGACACGTTGTGCGACAGACATTGCAGCAACGAGTCGTCTCTGAAAAGCAAAGGCTATTGCTCTGAGTTTTGTGAGGTACGCTCGTCTCCATTTTCTAAAATGATCTCCAAAATCAGCGTCTGTTTACCGCTAAAGCTAATAGCTTTGCTAGCTAACGTAGCTTTATGTTTGTCGTCATTGTGTAGCCAAGACTGTGTACAGCCCGTCATATTCAAAGGATGTAATGTTAATTACATGAAGAGGGATACAAACTGTTACGTCTGGCGAGGTTACTTGTTATGGTAGGCTACCCGAGTTCCTCGGAATAGGCCTATCCGATATATGATATATTTAGCTTAGCTAGTTAGCTTTGTAGCTAACGTTAACTTCAAGCAATAAAGTTAAACTTATTAATGGAATGAGGTTAACATGGGGCGTCTAACAAAATGTATTTAGTTAAGCTATTGGTTATTATTACAACTTTGTTTTAAAAGGAATACAACCCTTTTTTTTACTGCTTGTTGTCTAATTCCATTTAACTTAACGTTAAATAAGTGTTTACTAGTCTCGCATAACCGGACACCTCTTGCCTCAGCGTTGACGTTTCATTCCGAACAATGTGTTACAAAGTCACCACCGGGGAACTTGATTATCAACAATCCTTTAATGTTATGAGTACGACAACTTACTGTAAGTCACCAGACTGAATCCATTGTATGTGCCGCGGTGTTATATTACATTATGTCAGTTTGATTTCAGCCTTGTTTGTAACAGTAAAGGTAGATTAAGCTAAATTATTATTCTCTAGTCGGTGGGCCAGATTTCGGATGTAGGTTTGAGTGGTTTAAGTAGTGTTCGGTTTCCATGGCCACAGCAATACACGTTTAAGTGACATGACAGTTATTGTCAACACAAACATGTGATATTTTCATGTACTTTAAAACAAACCATGGTTGGGCTTTTTTGAAAAAAAAAATATTTACCTGAGGAGAAAAAAAACACCTATGATCAACTGGAATATATTTCATATTTCTACATGTCTGTGTTCTCCCTGCACAGCTGGTGGAGGAGTACACAGGGCAATGGCAAGTTCCCCTCCCTCAGCTGAAGGTGTTGCGGACGGCACTCTGCAGTTTCACCAAAGCCACCGCTGCTTTCCCCGATGACTGTCACCACATCCACTATGTTCTCAGCAGTATGGCCCTGTGAGTAGTTTGTCACATGTAAAGTGCCATTTTTGTTTGTCCTGCTAAATTTGAAATTCAGAACGTGATAAAAGAATTGCCTCCAAAAGCTGTCAACATAGCGGGCTAAACCGGCGGCTGGTAGTTAACCATCATCTCGATGCAGTGTTAAACTGGGGGAGGGTTGGGGGAGGGAGGTGATGGTGATGTTGTACTTCCACGCTGACAAAAGTGGGTCGGAACTGCGTTGTCGGTCAGAGTTCAGTCACTCCCATCTACGAACAAGCACACACAGCCAGACAGGCTACGTAACCGAAGCACAGAGACGGTCCGCAGGCAAAGGGAGGAAGACTTTGTTCTTTTCTCAAGATGCCATGACCCAACTGTACTTATACATAAAAATTAGTTTGCTGCTTTATCAATCTTGTGAATTTCCAAATAAGCACATTTTACACAGAAAAATCAGTGTCTTAGGAGTGTGACGTATGAGCTTGTTGGGAGACTGTTTGTTGATGTTTAGAGTGACGAATAAACCTCATGCTATGAGTTTTACAGGGCAAGTCTTAGCCTACGGTTTGACTAGCCACAAGTAATATTAAACTAAACCACATACCATAGTGAACATGTTAGCCGGGTTTGAATATCGTTTACTATTTTGGTCACGTAATCCAACATTTTTTCTGCGACCTATAATTTGAACGCTTTTTGCTTGGATTAGTGGATGATTATTGCTTGTTTTTTGAGAATAACACTTGAAGAGTACTTCTAAAGGTTTGATGGTTTTTATGGAATAAGATATTTTCTTTCTTACTGTGAGATGTCTTTTGGCAAACTAATGTTCCTCTCGTTGCCTTTCAGGAGCTTTTTTGAACTGATGCTGTTTTTTAGCAAGGAAGAATTTGTGGAAGAGCCTTTAAAAGACATTCTTGATTCCTTTCAGGTAACAAAAACGCACGTGTGCCAAGGCTCTGTTTTTCTTACTCACACTTTCATTAGTAAATTGTGACTGTTCAATAAAAGTTCCCAGCACTTCTACTAGAATTCCATCTATATACATTCAATTAACCAACATATCGTAAAAGTAATGGTTGTGATTGGTCATAGAACATGAAGAAAAAAATAAATGGACGTTTTGAATGCTCTTGCAGGAGTGCCACTCTCAGCTCCAGAGGCACAGGAACATCTACCTTCAGCACGTGAAGCTGATCATCAAAGCAGGAGGCCCATGGGAGAATCTGGTGCTTCAGGGAATCCTGAAAGAGGCCAACTTGACATTAAAAGAAGGTAGGCTCATGGCCGCATTCTTTGGCTTACTTCATACTTAATTGTCAGCTGGATCACCAGATCTAGTGACCAGAGTAGCTATTTCTACAACCAACGTAATAAGTTTAACTGAAAGGTACTGGTACAAGAGGAGAGGTGAGCACACACAGCTCTGTGGAGCAGCAGTGCTGATTGATACGGATTGTTTCCTGTTGTAACATGGACAAGCCATCACTAATCATTATACCATCAATCCACAAACAGAGTTTGCTGCTCAGCTGCTGCAGAGTTTTTTTTATAGACTTGAAAACAGCTAAACAGCTTGCATGCTGCCAGGTTAAAATGCATGTGTCATTTCTGTTATTTGGTCAAAAATTAAAGCAGTTTTTAATGCGATATTGCATTTCATCTAAAAATATATGGTAAATCACAAAATATATCAACTAGCAGCCGACTTACACAATGTTTCTTAATTTGTTTTACATTTTTTTTTACAATATATCAAACCTCTAACCTCAGATCAGGGAATAACACAACTGAAGGGCCAGTAAATAATTGGCCTCAAACATATCCTAGTTATTATTTAGCTTTACCCTAAGCAGCATCTGTACGTGTGTCATACATATTAACTCATGTAATCCCCCTCCATGCAGTCGATGACTACTTAAGCTCCGAGTTGCCGGTCTTCTTTGAGCTGCGGATTCGCTATTTGCAAGCCTGTGAGCGAATGCAGGAGGCGATGGCCCTGTCCAAAAGCTGCCTGGAGAATAGCGAGGCTGGAAAACATCTGTACTTCCATCAGGCCTACCTGACCTGCCTCTACAAGGCCTCACTGCATGAGCACCTTCACAAGGAGGTAGGAGACAAAACGACTCGCGACGGATGTGAGGCATTCTGTTTATTTTTTAAATTGTATTCACATGTTTTCTTCATAGATGGAACAGTAATAATTACTATTGTAATTATTAATAAACAAAACATGACTCATTATTAAAATGCTGCATTTAAATGATAGTGAAATTTCTCAGCTGATTGTGTGTATGATTGGAAGCTGTAAGAATGAGCACCTCATGGAATAGATGATTCTTGTGTTCCTGATGTACCACATTGATTGTAATCCATTTAGATTTATTTAGGAGTTGGTGTATTTATTTAATGCCTGTATGTGTATCTGAAGACATCTACATGTCTCCTTCCACAGATGGCGGAGATCGATGGCCGTGATGCTGTGGAGATCATTTGCAACACAGAGAGCGTTGAGAAAGATGAGCTTCTGTTGTCCCTATGCAAAGCTTTCCTCACCCAGCAGCTACACAATGGAGACATGTACTACATCTGGTGAGAATAACCTTCAGACATGTACTCCAATTTACCCAGGTCTAGTAGTAAAGTGAGGCAATGTTTTATATTTCTTTTATTTTGCTTGGTACCCCCTCAACTTGAACCGTTGTTGTTTGATCAAAGCATGTAAGCGACGTCTTTGGCCTGTTCTGCCTCTTGCAGGGACCTGGTGTTCATCTGGAGCAGGTTGCACCTTAGGGCCCATCCCTCCACACGTGGTTTCCTGGCCGAGTGTTTGCAGTTGGCCTCTTCTGCCACTAACGTCAGAGCCATCTTCCCCTTCATCAAACTGGTCACCACAGAGGTGCGGCCAACGCCACAGCATCTTCATTTTCCATGTTGTTTCTTAGGACAAGTTGTATATTTAGCACAATGTTGGAAACTTGCATCTGGAATGTGTGAAGACAGTTACAGCGGAAACAAATCAGACGAAAATATCCGTTTACGCTGCCCGAGATACAAAAGCCTCTCTTTTGAGTCATGATGAGACCTTCATCTTGACCCTCATGATTGTTCTACCTACCATGCCACCGTGTTTTAACCAGATGTTTGTTTTTGGACAGCTGGGGGTTGAAGGAGTCCCGGTCTGCGTGGAGCTTTGCGCCAGAGCCCTGCAGCTGGGCGACACGCAAGCTGACGGTGTTACCCGGTCCCTCGTCTGCAAGACCATCGCCTTCCTGCTACCTCACGACCTGGAGATCTGTCGAGCGTGCGCCCTGCTGGTCTTCTGCCAGGAGCGCACCCTGGAAGCTTACCGGACGGTGTGCCTGCTGTACATGCATCCCGACCAGGAGCCGCATCCCCAAAACAGCCCCGTCAGGACCAGCGTTCGCTTCCACATTGTGCAGGTGGGAGGTGGTGGAGAGGGGACTATGTTATCAGATCTGATGGTCTAATTGGCTGTATTACCGTTATGATTCATGCCTAAAATGTTTGTCTTTTGCTTTTTAGATGCTCAAGGAGCAGCTGTGTTTTGACCCGGAGTTTTGGAACCTCATGACCCTCAGGACTCACTGCTTGGGGTTGATGAGCGACAAGGTCATGAAGGCTGTTGTTCTCAGCGAGATGGAGGAGGAAGAGGAGAAGGGAAACCGTGAAGAACTGTTAATAAATGCACGTGTAAATGACTCATGCGCACAAGGCCATGATCCCGGCCAGCGCTCCGTGGCTAGAGGGGGGAAAAAGTGTGTTGCCCCATCAAATATTGTTCTTCTGAAGAGGAGAAAATGGAGAAAACGCCTGCGAAGCAGAAACCAATCTTTGTCTGATGATGAGGCCGACCGCGGTGATGATCCAGAGTTCAAATACAACCTCAAAGCAACGTCTTATGGCCACAAGCCTGTGTATTCACTAAGGCACGTGAAAGCTAACATTGAAAACGCCGCCATTGTAAAAGCCCCGCTTAACCGCAAGAGAGAATACTTGTCTAGATGTGTGAAGAGCCAAATCTTGAAAAGAAAGGGCTGGAAGAAAAGATGGTTGCAGGGTCTTCCGAGGCTGGAGCAGGTGCAGCCAGTCAAAGAGAAGAAGGGCAAAGTCTCGGAGAATAAGGTCAAGAGCAAAGGGAAAAAACGTGGACGGAAGCCTTTACAGAAAATGGAACTCTCCTACCCTGATAATGAATTGTGTGTCTCTGAGGAAGAGTTTTGTTTTGAGGATATAACTGACACGGATGACCGAGAGCCGGATATGCCTCAGCTGGAGAACGAACTTGAACCAAAGAGTCAACGGAAAGAGAATCGATTCGAGCAGATGGATAATCTTGAGAGGGAAAATGAACTTGAGAAACACCCGGACTTGGTCTGCAGTAGCAGTCCCATAGAAAAAAACCCAAAGGGATCTCAAACACAGTTTAGTGAAGCTCTTTCCGAGGAGCCTCAAGCGGCTGTTCCATCTGTTGATGCGGGTCCTGAACTTGATGGTCCACCCTTAAAGTTACTGGTTTGCCCGATTGAAGTGCTACACAACTACTCTCTCAAATTCAAAAAGCCCGATGGTGAGAAACCTCCTGAGTCCTTGGCACCAGAGGAGGTGAATGGCGACACAGAACAGGAGGCCCAGTCCACAGAGGAAACTGAAGTGTTGAACACTGAGGTCAGTTGTTCTTCACTAAATAACGTCTTCATAATTACTGGGCACATGGATAACAAACTAACATGTCTTTATTGTGCCTTGTTTGATGCATTTTGCCCTGACTCCACTGCAGTGGACCGCTTGTGTGGACGCAGTCCTTTTGAAAACGGTCATTCAGGAGGAGCTCTTTGACACGCGGATATTAATAAGGAAACGCGTGGGAGGGTTCTAGTGTCCTTTTGGAATTGTCTGTTGTTCTGCTTTTCTGTTGAACTTATGTTGGTGGTTTGTTGTCTTCCCTCCAGGTGAAAGCCAAGGGAACGTGCAAGGACAAAGTCCGCCGCACTCAACAATACGCCCACTTGACGTACCACTGCGACCTCTGCCGCAAAGACTACAAAGGCCTGAATATTATGAGGCATGCTCTGTCGCACCTTAAGAGTGGGAAACTCGAGTGTATTCTCTGTGGAAAACGCTTCAAACAGCTCCCCTTTGCCAAAAAGCACATTCTGGACCACATTGATGAAATGAGCAAGCAGAAACCCCCCGTGAGGCAGCCGTGCACTGAGGACATTCCTGCTGCCAATGGAGCAGTACGTGATGTGAAAAATAAGAGTCCGCCTCCGAATGAAAATCAGACTTGTATTTCGGCAGAGGAAGCGCCCGGACAGAGATCCGGAGGCAAGACCAAAGCGCCGGCGCTCAAGAGGGAAGATCGGATCATCCGAAACCTCCGCTCGCTCATCAAAAAGACATCTGTGCTCCACAAGAGGTGCAAGAACCCCGATGCGAGACCGTCTAAGCTGGTGGAATTCAACGACGAGCAGGTCGTCATCGACAATGGCACGGTGACTGTGAGGAATCCATCCGTGGTGGTGGAGGAGGTGGAGGAGGAGGAGAAGCCGGCCGGAGAAAACTGCTGCGGTGCGGACACGTATCACCTGTGCCCCTCGGAGTCCTGTGATCGAGTATTCCTGAAGATCAGCGCCACGCTAACAAAGCATGCCCTTAAATGCCACATCAGCGAAGAGAAGGTGCTGGAGAAGACGTTTGTGTGGACCAAACACAAGTGCACCCTATGCCTCAGGTAAGACCTTCTGCATATCAAAGAGTCACAAACGTCCTCGTCTAGAGTTGAGTGTGATCCTCTTCACGCATGCATCTGCTCCATTATCTAAAACTGAGTGGCGGGGTAGTTTTGGTGCTAGAGGAAGGTTGTCATTGGGCTCACTTTGCTTTCCTCCCACAGGCAGATACAGTTTCTCCAGCATTATAAGGACCACATGAAGCTCCACGGTACCGCTCTCCAGCACTTCTGCTACCACCTGGAGTGTAAGCAGCGCTTCTCCACACTGCAGGACCTGAAGGACCATGTGAAAACTCACCAGCCCTTCAGACCTCAATGTTCAGTCACAGACTGTGAGAAGATCTTCTCCAGCGCTCAAGGTCTCTACGACCACGAGTGGAGACACTACATCCCGGCGCCTCAGAAAGAAGAACTGGAGTTGGGACCCAGCAGACAGGTGAAGGAGAGTGAAGAAGCTCCGTGGAAGCAGAGAGTGAAGGTGGAAGATTTATGGCTTCAGAGTAAAAAGGCCCAGAGAGAAAGTCTGAGCCCCGGTCATCTGGAAGCTTTCAGAGAAATGACCAAAACCGAGGACCAGCTTTGCAAAGTAAATGTCCCAGACAGTAGTCACGACCCGTCCAAACCTCACAATGGCTCCGGAAACGCAGTCGGCCACGAGCCCACGGATGGGCGCCAAGACGCCGTCAATGGACACGAGGGAGAGACGAGGCCCGGGCTGTTGCAGGCAAATATTTTTGCTTGTCACGCTGCTCCATCAGCTCCAAGTAAGAGCTGCCGGAAGAAAACGCCCATCGAGTGGGACCCCTTGAACGTCCGAGACCTCGAGGAGATGTCCACTTTGTCCGAGGGTGTCCAGAAGACGCTGGGCGAGCCGCACATCACTGAGCACAAGACCTTTAAACCCGAGGACCCCGCGTACGCCACCTTTGTCAAAGCGCCCTTCATCCGGCCGCCGCCCTCCACTTACCTCGACGAATCCATGCTGTCGATGCGCAAGAGGCGGTCCAATGAGGAGGTCGCTCCGAAGAAAAACGTCTACTGGAGCAACAAGAAAAACAAGGAGGCCGGCTCGGAAAAGCAGCAGGCGGAGGAGAATGTGAGCTCGGCGCAGAAGACCCGGCGTCGCTGTGACAAATGTCTTTCCTCTTTCGCCACCGTAGAGGAATTGCAGAAACACAAGAGCCTGAACACCTGCTCCTCGCTCTTTGGCTTCGACTCAGACGATGACAGTAAGTCTGCCTGTGAGGTGCATCTTACTGCAAGGAGCTTTCTAACCCACTTTAACACTCTGTAATCACTTTCCCCTCTTCTTTCTTAGGTTAGTGGTGAGAGGAGCCGCAACCATGGTAACCAGGTGCTCCTCGCGGCTCAGGGCAAGCATCAGAGATAAAGGAACGCCGGCGCCCTTTGCTTATGCTGCGACTCAGTATTGAATACCAGTTTGTAAACAAAAGGAAAATATGTGCCAAAATGGTTAATGGTTTGATTTCTTTCTCAGTTAAATTGATTGAATGGTTGTCCGTGTACAGATACCATGTATACCACATACATGATACCACAGTATTTCAAACAGAAGGCCTGTTTCTTTTTGTGACAAACATTTGCTGGACTTGCCACACCATGATGTTATAGTAACACAGAGTACATCTCACTGAAATATGTGTTTAATCAATTTTGTTGAGATGAATTTTCATTACGTCTGTCATTTAGCTGACGCTTTTATCCAAAGCGACTTGCAATAAGTGAATTTCAACCATAAGAATACAAACTCAGAAGAACCAGAAACAAAGTGCAATTTCATCAAATAAGCCGATTTACAACTTGCTGTGGATGAGAGCCATCATAAGTACAATTTAAGTGCTCCAATTTGTGAGGTGTTTTCAGTCCAGGTAGAGTGGGGAGGCGTGTCTAGTTTGCGGCGGAAGATGTGATGGCTCTCGATTTAAGTAATTCTTCCAAGTCTTGATTTTGGAGATTATTGACAAATGGTTCCTTAAATATTCTTCATTTAGAAAAATAAATGGACCTGACATTTATTTGGGGGAAAGAATGCACTGGTATTAATCTGGCTTTGAGTTTATATTTCCCCCTCATGCTTTGGAGTGACGGAGGGACTTTTTGAACATCTGGCTTTTTACGCCTGTGGTGTTCAAATTTTATGCCAAATGGCTCCAGTTTAAGATTTTTAAGTCCTTTGTGTTGTCCACATAAAGTATATTAAAAAAAACAGTCCTTGCAGCTGCATGAAATAGTGAAGATGAGCTGATTGAGTGTTGCCTTCTCGTGTTTGGGCAAATATCGTTGTCTTCCTAACAAATTGTACACAAATGGTAGAGCAGCAGTGGGCGAGTCTTCTCTCCACATCTGTCCAATTTGATTTGAATTCCAAATAAACGCTCTAAAGCGTTCTCTCCTGCAGCAACTTTTCAAACGGAGACGTTTCGGTCCTTTAGGTTCTAAAGCAGGATCGGGTTCATCTTGGTCTATTTTTCAAGATTCACTAACTCATCTAAGCTTTTACCAAAATGTCTGAAACCATATAAATCTGCCTTCATACTGACTCAATATTATCCTCTGCAGTAAAGAATTCACCACTGCATTTGTGCGGAGTGTGAATCTCAGTGTTGGACTGTAGGTAAAGATCAATACTCCATCCGTCATACGGTGCCACTTTGCTCTAAATGTTTTCTTTTTACTCTGTTTGACACCACGATCATCAGTGTGACAGAATGTGTCACATTGGTCGTCTGTTGTGTGTGTGTACTTGAGATGGTTGATCTGTTCATCTTTTTATGGAATTGCTTATTTATATGTACAAATGTTAATATATTGGATTTGTAAAGGTATTGATTCCTTATCTATTTTTCTTAAAGAAAATGACTTGTGATTTGTTTTAATAAACAAATTAAACTAATGTTGCCAATAATTATATTGTTTATTAGTTGCAAGTTTTTTTCCTTTGTGTTATCTGATTCAAAGTATATTTTACATGTAATCATAATACAGCAAGGGAGCAGATAACGTATTTTATTTCAGCATTGCATAATTATTCATAAACATATTGCTTTATTGTTGACTCCAAGGAAAGAGGAAAATAGCATATTTGAATTGCTGGTTTAAAAAACCTTTTGCATCACACTTTTCCCGATAAATGAGGTAATTGAGAGTACAGGATGATCAATAAAGGTAAACCAAACCTTTTTTCTGTCCACTTTGTCCCACTCCAAGTGTTCATGTCCACCGTCTTTAGCTGAAACAGAGGTGCAGGGTTGAATCTCTTACGTTACGGTCAAACTGTTTCTCGTGGATGAGGTTAAGGCCAGAAACAAATCAGCACCTCCTGCTACGAGATCGGTGATTCTTCTAGTGTCTTGTGAAGCAAATGCGCTGCAGTTTTAATACAAGTTTCCTTGGACTGATGTTTGGTGCTACTTAAAGCCTAAGAACAAAGAAACCGTAACGTGTAGGACAGTGTCTTTCCTAAAGGGCACAGACTGTGCACACGGGGCAGCGTGATACACAACGTGCATCACGCTGAGGACAGCAACCCAATGTTGTTTTCTCTCACATTTTCTTCTGACCTGAGATGCGGAAAAACCTTCAATTATGGAAACAAAGGTGGCAGAAAAAAGGTTTTCCAAGCTACACACTCCTTATAATCATAAACATTAAATTCAATTAAGTAAATGTATGACAGTCACACTGGAAGATATATGATAAAAAGGGTGTTAAAAACGTTTAAGGCCAGGTGAAATGAAAAACAGATTTAGTTGAATTTCAATGATTGAAAAAAAAAAAAAAAAAAAAGAAAAAGATCCTGTACAGTTCAGAAAGCCTGCGTGGACACAAAATCAATCCACACAAACTGCTACATTTAACTTCTGAAGAAATGAAATGCTATGAAAATATTTTCACAGACCACATTGTAAGTAAAAAGGTGCAAATATGTCTCAACAGCATTCAAATTTGTTAATAAACATGCAAGTGTCAGGGATGTAGTTGTGATCATTACAAATATCTTTTACAAAACATCAGTAGCTCTTTTTCATTTAAAATGGAAGACCTGGATCAAAAAGAGGGGCAGAGAGAGACGAAACAAAATACTACTATAAAATTAGGTATTAAAGGGCCAAAATCCCGAGCACTGCATCGGCCTGTGCGCTCGAAACAGGAAGCACGTTCTATTTTTACTCAGTGATTGGAGCCTATAAGAGGAGCCCCCCCCACTCCCACCCCCATAGCCACAGGTATGGTCCAACCTGTGACCACAGCAGCATCTTAGAGGGTGTTTATCCGGAGAAAGAAAAAAATAGCTTTGAAAAATGAATATAATTCCTGAGTGTGGACATATTGGTAAAGGACTGGAGATCATGGAAACCATTGTAAAGATTGACAATATAATAACTATAAAGAACGCCGTTGTTGGCTGTTAATTTACTCACATAATCTGGGAAATGTTCAGGCTTTGACATTTTACACAAGACATTAATATGGGGAGTCAATAACACGCTTAATGTGTATCTCATCCGGTTAGTCAGCTGCAGAACAAAGTGTGCAATATCATTTCTGCCAGCTCACCGCTTTTACTTTGAAGCCAATTAAGTTGATGCAGCTTCCAACAACACATGACCTTAAAGCTAGAATGAGCCAAAAAAAACTAAAAAATAAAAATTAGTACGAGTCGATGGTACAGTGCAAAAGTGCCCCTCCCACCGCTTGGATTTACAGTTTATATTGCATAAAAACCATTTGCATGGTTGAGGACCATTGGATTGCATTAGGCAAGCACATCATCATCATCATCATCATCACCACCACCACCCCGGTTCATCAGAAGATGCAGCTCAGTAGAAAGCAGACAAATGCGGAGAGACTTTGCGTATAGCTGGACGTGAATGCGTGTGTGTGTGTGGTCTGTGCTCAGTGGGAGCTGTTGGTGCCCCAGTCGTAGGGGAGGAAGCTGACTTTGGTCTTCCCCGCGGAGAGGACACCCTGCAGGCTGGTCTTCTTCGGAGAGTCGCCCATGTGCTCCAGCACCCAGTTCAGCAGCTGCAGGGGAGAGAACGAACAGTGAGGTCCAGTATTGTCATTTCTAACTTCTGCTCCCCTGCATTTTGGGAGGCACATATACAAGAAAGGCGTTACGATACATTATTATTGTGAAAGCGTATACAACATGAATATTAATGAATGCAGGACGTTTACTTGTAACTGACTTAGTAGAACTACCTTTTCATCAGTTCCCCCAAAGTCAGCTTTGTACCACTTGAATATTTGACTGAGCCGCACTTCACTTTTCCCGGAATCCACCAAACAGGCTTCGTCGTTCTCCAGGAAGGCCTCGGCCGCCGTGCGCAGCTGGCCGTCGATGTCCTGATGAAGTCGAGTAGATCAGAAGGGATTTTGGACCCTTCGAGCTCCTAATATATTCGATAAGTTGCAGATACCAAAGACGCCCCATAGTATTTGTCTTTAATCTGCTTACCTGTGGAGTATACGTTTTAATTGGAGGGCAGCCCTTCGCGCCGCAGTTCAAGGCAAAGTGGATGAGGGGCTCAGCATCTGGAAGGGCCACCTGGAGGACAAGCAGGGAACATCGCATGATTTATTAAGCGTCGATGGGTCGCCGGTGAATCGGTGAAATGTTCAGCTGCGACTCGACAGAATACTTGTAGCCGCGGGTCGGTTTTGGAGAAGGGTTTCAGAAGCTGCGCGACACCTTTTCGGTTCCCTCTCAGAACGCCGTTCTCAATGTCCTGCAATGTGAACACTTCTCCTCCAATCAGGTAGCTCACGTAGTTGAAAAACTAGAAATAGAGAGGGGGGAAAAAAAAATGTTTCTGTCATCCATTCCTGGTTAAGTACATATGATTGAATAAAAGATAATGAACATCATCCCAGTATTATTATCCTCCTTTGCTTGCCTTTTGAAGTTGAAGGATTTTTTTTTTAAAAAGGCAAGCGTAACCTACTCTGTATCTTTGCCACATGTTGGTGGGGGCCCCCAGGCGGAGGGACCCGTGGATGACCAGGGCGTTGTAGATGTTGATGAAGAAGGCCAGCTTCTCCTCCCGACTCAGTGACAGCAGCTCCACCCGCTGTAGCTGGACGGCGAGCTCACAGTAGCGGTCGAAGGCGGGGTTCCCCAGCATGCCCTTGTAGTCCACGGACTGCGGGGACGAGTAGGACACGGACCCGTTAGCGCTTCGCCCGGTCGACACGCCCGCGTTCAGCAGCCACGAGTCAATGAGGACTTTACCTTCCCGTCGGCGGAGAGGTGGTCGGAGAACAATTTCAGAATCAGCTCCCGCACAAGCAGAGAGAGTTCGGCCGCTGGGGGAAGAGCGAGGAAGGTGAAAGATCAGTCCGACCTCAACGTCATACAAATGGGATTATTGAATCGGAAATGTCACTCGTGACAAAAAGGAGCATTGCTGACAAATAGACGAAGCACCAAGCATGTGTACAGCAAAGAAGCAGAGATAGAAATCGACTGTGTTGTGCGACGCAGATCAGCTTGTTAGTTGCGTGTGCAACAATGAGGTAGAAATACAATACGGAGCCAGGCAACGTGTCTCACCACCACCACAAACAAGAAACGTTTAAGAAATAAATGAAAAAGATGACAGCAAACTTGCCGAAAAGAAAACATGGTTTTGAAATAAGTGATTTTATATACGAGGCCCATTTTTTCCTCATTTCTCCAGAGTTTGTAGACGTTTAATAAAACAATCAAACAACTGAATTGCCCAGAAAATGTATCATAAAATATATGATGAAACACACTGCACCCTTTCATGGCCTTTTGTGCTTAAACTGCATCATAGCCATCCGCCAGGAGGTTTATTTTATTAAAAGGTAAACGTGAGGCCACAGATGACAGTTATATCCACTAAGCTGTACGTCAGTTCTTCCTGCCACTCAGCTCACTGACGCGACACACAAACCAAGCCAGCAGCGTAGAAAGGAGAGGCAACGGAGAGCGTTGATCCAGCAGTCTGCGTAGACTGGGCGGAGGTTCCCAAAGCCCTGACCTACCCGGGATGGGGCTGCACGCGGCCGTCTGCCCAGCATTTAGGGCTGAATTTGGGTCGTCCTCCAGCAGCCTGTACAGTGCGTCTTTCCCTTCTTCAAAACTGCCTTCCTGCAGGCCCGAGGCACGCACACTGACCATGTACTTCTTCTGCAACAACGCCTGGCCGGTGCTACTGGCCTCGGCCCTGGCTAGCACACACACACACACATCCACAGTCATTGTCGACACATCTGGATTTGAATGTACTTTGTGTGAATCTGGAGACTGTTCAGCGAGTCCCTAGAACCAATCAAATCCAAAAAGGGACACAACACGGAGAGTCCGTCTCACTGCGGGTCTGCAGCCTTACTTACCCATGCCCTTTTCTTTCTGCAGCCAGTCAACCAGTTGATCACACGAGAAGCTCTTTTTGTACACTGTCAGTCCCCTCCTATGACTGCCAATCACGTTGGCGTGTTTGAGGTCCCCTACCAGGTCTGCCAACTCATCTTTCTCACACACAAACTCTGTGGGCAGGAACAACCAAGCCACACGTTGACAAAACACACAAAAACACACACGTATATAGTACTTCATACTAACACAAATCATTTGCAATATGAATGGAGAGATTCCGTATTTGTTAGCAACACTGAATTGATCTTGCTCCACAAAAGCCTGTGCACGGAACTCTTTGGACAGGCGCTTTGTTTGCATGTGACCAGGTTCTATCTGCGGTTACTCAAACCCACCGCAAAGCCGACGCCTCACACGTTTCAACGCTTGAAGAAAAAGACAGGGTACTTTGTGTCGAGGTGATAAATGCCTCACCTCCATCCGTCCCCCCCGCCGCGTCCTGTGGCGGATTCTCCTCCGGTAGTGGTGGAGCATCTGCTGGAAGAGGCTCCTTCTTCACCAGATTCACCAACCTTTGAAGCTCCTCAGGAGCCTGAGGGAGTGAAGCCGACCAATCACATAAAGTTACACTTTATTTCAATCATCATACACACATTTGGTATAATATATATTTATATACATGCATCACATCCTTCAAAAAGTGGACGCTATCTTTAGGGGTTTTCCACCCCTTCTCACCAATTTCTGCAGGTCGTCGTTGCCCCCGACGTGAATGTTGTTAAAGAAGATCTGGGGGACCGAGCTCCGTCCCGTCAGCTCCTTCACCCTGGCTCTCAGCTCCGGGTGCCTTCCCATATCCACGTCGCACACCGGCACTCCCAGACGTCCGAGGGTGGCTTTGGCCTGCACGCAGTGCGGGCAGCCCTGGATTGAGTAGACCGTCACCCGGCCCGGAGCGCTGCCCTCAAACTCCTCCATCTGCAGCAATAACGGGGAGACGAGAGAGAGAACCGGCTGAGCTTAGTTAGGAAGTTGTATTAAGCTTTGGTCTTGTGTAGTGTGGATATGTATGTGCGTAGCTTGTGTTGGATATTGTATTGCATGCAGAATGGGAGGTTACTTCCAAAATGATATTTTTCTACATTTAGGAGAAGAAATTTGATGGGTAAAATTTGTAGATTTATTCTAAACCCCTCCTTTAACGAGATCTGCCACAGATTGACGCTTACATATTTGAATCTATATTTAGTACCTGTATCCAGTCCTTTCAGTCAAGATGGGGAAACTGCCGAATGAACTAAATTAATTTCCTTAAGGTGCAGTGCTTTAAATGCGATCTCCTGACCAGTTTCAAACCAGCAGAATAAAAGTTCCTTTGTAACTTCTGGGTGATTATTGACAGTGGAGGAAGTGCATTTGAAAGACTTTGGGGCAATCTCTGACGCAAATTCCCCTCAGCTCATTTAGCGCTTCCTTGTGTTGAAAGAAAGGCCGGTGTGATGTGAAATGTTACTGATTTGGTTTGGTAAGAAGTGAGCCAATGGCAGTTCCTCATTCGTTGTGACACAGACTCAGGCCAGCAGTTAGTCAATATTGGTCCATGCTGATGAAGGACAGATCAACACACCAACACACACACACACACACACACACACACACACACACACACACACACACACACAGTTTCTCTACCAATTCCCCACGTCTTGAACATGTTGATGGTGGATGATGAGCACAATCTGGCAGAATTGTTACGTCACTGTGAGAATACGGAGTTGTGGAAATGGCACTTATTGTTTTAGAGTTTAAAGTTGTTGGCTACGTTTTAAAAAGGGGACGTAACGTCAATCGTTACTAAAAAAAGCGAGGCTTTATATTGCGATCTGTGGAGTTTGGAAGAGAATATCACATTTGACAGTTGCAATAAATGAACACGAATAAACAAGAAACCAAACCATCAACAATTCTTGAATCCGTTTCTCACTCAAACCGTTCAGTGACACACGAGTCCCGCTTGACGGTGGATTATAACGTTACCGTACTCAATATACGGAATGTCGATAAGAAGCGAGCGTAGATAACGTGTAATAAGAAAATAAAAACAGTACGTTACCTTTCAGCGATTGACAACTTTGCTTAATTCGGAAGCAATATTACAAATTTAAAATCCCACAGCTGCTTCCCTTAGTCTCGTTAACCAAAACATGCGTGTTGGTACGTAACGTTAAGTTGTGTGTAACGCCACCAGGAAGGTCACTTATCCTGCCGGTAAATGACCCAGCTGCACTGGGTGTATATCATCATTGCGCATGCTAGCCGCTGGTGTCAAATGAGAGCGATGCTAGCCCGCATTAGCTACTTTATAACGTGAGCTTGTGTCATGATGCCTTCAGGTACGCCTCGTAAACGACCCGAACTATAATTATTTCCAGGCATATTCTCTTTACCATTATTGTTTCATCTACCTAGTCGTCTACATTTATAAATTATTTTATATCATCACTATTATTATTATTATTATTATTTATGCAATTGTTTTTATTCGAATTCACCAGTAGTTGTTTACATTTGCCTCAATTCAAATAAAAAATGCACCGCAGTATTCGATGTTGCAAAATGCCAACGTAATACGTGAGCCTAGATCCTTAAAAGGTTACGGTAAATGTTAGTGGCTTGTTCCCTTACATGCTACGTTGGTAAATGCTCAGGTAAAAGAGTAAGAGTTTCATATTGAAAATATGTGTTATTCATGGACACCATTAATTCCTATGGCATTAAAAGCAACCCCATGTTTTCCCGGATATTGCCAAGGTTTCATGCGGAATGTTTCGCCGCTGATACATGTTCCTACACGGACATATTTCTAGCAGGACGCGAATGTACGATCTTTGGGAAGAAGAGGCAATTTTTTTTTGCGGTGGCGAAAATGTCAGGCCTGTCAAAAACAGAGCGCGCTGGATGTACAAATATACTGAAGTTAATGTCGAAAGACAACTTACTCTCACTTACTGACACAGTCACGAATAAGATGATAGTAGTTGAAAATACGGCAGGTATCGTATGTTTTCATCTTTACCTGTTAGCAAGGAGCAAGATAGAAAGCATAGCGTTATGGTCAACGTTCGTTAATAACAATAATATCAATTATTTTGTATACCTTCACCTCAGCCTAACATAGGATGCTCATTTGTTTATGTAGAGGCTTCGGAAACAATCCTCCTCTTCACTAAAACTGCCGAGGAGCTCCTGAAAAGGAAGAAGGTTCATCGCGACCTCATATTCAAGTACCTGGTCGGAGAGGGCGTCGTGATGCCGTCGAACAGCGAGAAACACCAGCTGGTGAAAAGGACCCTGGAGCTCTGGTCGTCTGGCAAGGTAGAGACAAGAGGTCGGCTTAGCCGTCCGTTATATGTCGATACGGTTGAATATTTGGATAAGCAGGTGGTACTTCGTTGGGGTGTAATCCACTGTTTACTCAGCATGTGCTGGAACACGTCTACTAAAAAGTAATCAGTACACCGGAAGTTGACCGTGGAAACGAAAGTGCCGCTAGCTTACATTCGGTTACATCAAGATGGAGAGAGAATTACTTTTAAGATTTAGTCTTAGAAAAACAAACATTCATTATAAACAACATTCATTAGTCGCCATTATTCAAGATTAATGAATTTCAATCTATTGACATTTCAATCTATTGACAGCCCTATTTGTAATGTACTAATAACCTCTCGTGTCTTTAAGGCGGACGAAAGCCTTCCGGGACAGAGCAATGAGACTAGACCGAGGCCGACCACGGAGGTGAGGGCCGAGGTAGACTTTGACCCTCTGGTACTGGGCCAGCAGTTCTGCCAGTGGTTCTTCCAACTCTTAAACAGTCACAACCCCTCGCTGGGCCAGCCGCCTCAGGATTGGGGGCCGCAACACTTCTGGCCAGATGTGAAGCTACGTCTTATCGCCAAGTAAGAATGTCATTAAGTAGTTAGTAGATGCAGATGATCTTTCTTATTAAAATAGTTATGATTGATTTGTGGAAAATGGCTTATAGCTGAACCGTAACGGACCTATGTCCCCCCCTTTCAGAGCTGGCAGCGAACAGATGGAGGATTTCCTGGGGGCCGAACTGGTTAGCCTTCGTCTGCTAGCCTTGATCAAGGAGGAGCACCTCGTCCTCAATCCCAATCTGCAGCCTCATGGCCTTAGGGCTCTGGCCTCCCCCCACGGCCTGGTACTGGTGGCTGTAGCTGGGACCATCCACAGAGACAAAGCCTGTCTGGGCATTTTTGAGCAAATCTTTGGTCTGATCCGTTCCCCGCTGGAGAATAACATCTGGAAGATCAAGTTTATCAACCTGAAGATCAGAGGAAAGGAAGCTCTGGGTGGGACAGATATGGTAGCCCCTGCCTTGAGTTACAACTCAACCGAATTGCAGCTCCTTTGCAGTTGACAAACACACTTTGTTTTACATTATTTAACCAGAGAATGTTTGTCCCGGAAAATATATATTTTTACTCATCTAACTTCATCCAAGGAATGTTTTTCAGAGGTCAAGACCTGGAGACTTGTGGACAGACCCCTCTCCTACCTTATTTTTACGTGTCAAGTTGTAAAAGCGGGTGGACATCTAAATTATTTTCACTTCACTGATGTAACATAAGGAAACAACAAAGCTTGAGTAAAGGTTTCCAAATGTCTTGCTTTCCAGAGAATGTTAGTCTCAGTTCCTTCTTGTTGTGGAAATATTTCTGCTCCAAATATTCTGTACCTTAATAGAAGTTGTGCTTTATGTGCCTTTAAATAAGATACAATGTAATTGAAGATATCGATGTGATTTTATCAACCTATGTGTACACTTGTCAATACTAGCAAGCAGAATGCTGTTTTTTTTGTTTTTATATGACACTACAAAGTCAATTCCAATGTTGAACATAATCCAAGTTTGCTGTGCTTTCATAGGATGAGTAAAGGTCAACCCACAATGTTAATGGCTGATTAGTGTTGTGTCAAAGAACCTCACAAACTGACCGTAATCATGCAAAGGCCTGTTGTGGGATCTCTAGTGTCAAATATCGGAGCAGTGAACAGATGGAGGAGCTCCTGGTTGCTGAACTGGTTGCCCCCAGAGCTCTGGTGTCTCATACATCTAATGAGATATCCTTTCTATCCATCAGCAGCATATATATATTTTCTCTGAAAGGAAGTGTTAGTCGTTTGGATGCAACCTTTTCTAATTAATTAATTTAATTGTGACCGTTTCCGAACCACAGTCGTCGGGCCTCTGGCATCGTTGTTGACAAAATATCATGATTTAAATCAGATTTATCCATTCCTCCCAGCTGCCTCAATCAGATTATTCTCATAACATTTCACATTTTGGTAGCACATCTGTGGGGGAGAATGACAGCCAAGTTGTTTAGAGCTTATTTGTTTTCTGTATTTTGAATTTATCCTGGGCCAATTTGCATGATCTGTTTTATTTGGCCTCAACCAAAACAGAACAAAAATGAATTATTTGACTTGATCATTAGGAGGCCAGATGCAGTGCAGTGATAAATAACTTTACATCCTCTGGCAGATGCTGAATTGAAGAACATCATTTACCGAAGGATTCTGAAGATGAACAGGTCCTTTTTCTTTCTGACAAAGGATACAAAGAAAAAACAATGTTCATAGAAACTGTTTGTTTCTGATGTTCATAGTAAGTGAGATTGTACTTTATGAGCATTTTTTACCCCGACTTATGTTTTTTTTTTTTTTAACAATTCCCATTCAAACACCAGCAGAGGGCATGTGTACATTGTGCAGGCTTCCCACTACCACATGTGAATGATTACTGGGTGGTCAGACATCTAATAAATAAACACTTTCATTAACTGTGCTCAGTAAGTAAACTGCCATTTTGTTCTTCACCCGCCCGAAATGGCACATGACTTGCACATGTATTTGCCTAGCTCTTGTCAAAACAGCTAACGTCCTACATCCAGCCGGTGGGAAGTGACGAGCAGCTGAAGCAGGACTGCGTGCCTTGGATCAGAGGGATCCGAGTGGTGAGACAGGAGAGGATTCAACACGCTACTCAGTTCACTACAAAACTACTAAGCAACAAGTGAAGGGAGACTTAACGGGCAGAAAGAAAAGGGATTTTATCTCCATAACGGCATTAACAACTGGCATTTCTAGCCACATTTCACTTGCTATATTGCTTATGCCCCATTAATTGTACAATAACTAATGTACAATATGAGTAACCAGCTTCAATTGGGCTCCTTATTCCTACATTGGCTCTGATTTTCCATGGATACTACCATAGCAGTCAGGGCCTGGTGGGGCACCAAATATGCCAGTACGACTCTGCGGCTTTGGTGGGAAATGTTACATGTGGGAAATTATTCTTGGCAGTTGTCTTCAAAGGTCCCTGGAATAGTTTGTATCTGTGACGGCATGGGTTGGGGAGACGTGGCCCTTTGTGCTTTACTGGGTCATAGTTGTGGTGGAGGGGAGACCACAGCGGCCATTGATCTCAGCCTGTTCACCTCTCAGAAAGAATAATAACAAGCTGCTCGCCTCCTGTCTTTATGGCACTTGGCTTCCCTGCGTTTTAATAAGTGGTTTAGCCACGGGCGCAGCCCCTCCGCATGGGTTCAGAAATACCGCTGCAGTGGCGTCTGGTGAGGGCTGTGACTCGGAGAGCTTTTTACTTTTCTTCTTTTCGTTCCTGTCCTCTAATAGGGAAGTGTGTTTGTCATAAAGATCATGCTACATGTTAGATGCATGGGCCTTGGAAATAGCTCACGAGTGGTGAACCATGAAGTCTGCTGCCTTAATCGTCAATCCATTTTTTTTAAAACTTTATCCTATTTCGTGAAGTATTGGATGTTTGGTCTGATCTTAAAGATTACTTTATTAAACACCAAGAGCTACAGCCATGTTTCTGTCTCTTGGCAGTCTGATGGCTTTATAGAGCCATTAATGCTAGTGTTTTTTTTCTTTATGTCTGCAGCAGTAATTCTTAAAGTGGAGCCCAGAGGCACTCAGGCTTCTTTCAGGGAGTTCAAGGAGTCCTTGTAGTGGTTATATGGAAAAGGAGTAATAAGTGTCCTCTTTATAGTGTTTATTGTTTTTATAGAATTTATCCTAAACAGACTGAATTAACTGTATATATATATATATATCTATATATATATATATATATATATATATATATAATAGCAAGCTGGGTACTATACTCAATGTGCCCCTATGGATTTGTTTTAGGTAAATAACGCCCCCATGAACTCTTTTACAATGGGATTTGAAATGACTCATATTCATATATGATGTCAATATTCATTTCATTTTGACCAGTGATAAACGTCAATGCGTTTTGACCTCATGGCAACTTGAGGCCAGAAGAGGGCGGACAAGCCACAGCAGACAGCAGAGAGAAGAAAGACTTTGATCCCTGGCCGGGAGAAGAGTGGGGGGGGGTGGGGGGGTAAAAATCCATTTTACACCATTACGTGAGGAAACTCATCAACGCCTCAGCGCAATCTGAGGGAGCTGATGTTACTCGGCAATTTCTCGCTGGCCGCTGCCGTCAGGCAGACAGTAAATTTGTCCGCTTTGAATTGTGTTTCATTAAAGTAATGGGTTTCTAAAAGAGGGACATGTTACACTGTTGCCTTTCATAGGCACAAGAGAACATATTTCAAAAGTTATTAAAGTGTCAGTAATTTATTGATACCTGTGAAGGATTTAAAGAAAATTTTAGCACAAAGCTTTACAGACTGCTGGATCTATGAATAGAAAGGGACTCGATCAATAGGAGATGATAATTCTCCTGCTGACAAAACATGTTAAAGGAAAGTTTTGTTAAAGTTTCGCAACTTTGACCGAGTTGTTTTGTCATTTTCGTGGGGCTTGGCCTCCAACCCGAGAGTGTTTCATAAACCAGTACACACGGAAACAGTCACATAACTCTGGCAGGAGGGAATGAGGTCAATCCACAACCCTCCAACTTAACGCACATCGTCTGTTGCAGAGGGGTTAGGATTTCACTTTTTTATTGTATTTTGAAGGCCTATCGGACGCTCTGTTGAGATTTGATTTTTGTGACCGATACGTGAACAGTATTGATGTTTTGAGTGTTCCCAAAGAGAGAGACATTACATCACAACAATTTGTCAGGTCAATTCTTGCCACATGTTTCTTTCCTGTAAAGGTCCACTTAGATTACAGATGGAAGCAAAGGTTGTTCAGTTTACATTTTAAGGACATTGCACGGTGAGGGAAGGAGCTTAACAACAACGTGGCATCAGGTATGTTCTCATGTTTGTTTGACCCTACGCGACCTTTGAGCCCGAGCCGTTACTTTCTATGCGCATTCTTCATCATTGTTCCGTTTCGAGGCATATTGGTTCGGACCTTCGAAGCAGCCGTCACAGTTCAAATCAACCCCTCTCTCGGCCCAGCGGTGTATCCTTACACATGCATCATTATCTCACGTAAACAGTGGAAATGCGAGACCGCCGGGGGAACGAACGCCATTCAACAACAACGCGAGCGGCTGAGTGAAAAGATGCCGGGTCGGTGACACTCTAGTTTAGCGTCAATTAAAAGAGAGCAGGGTCCTTTCTGAAGGCGGCTGGCTCTGATGTGTTTATTTACACTGAAGCAACTATGCGTGTTTGAGGGAACGCATGCAGCCAAGGATGTTTCAATCAGAAAATCATGGAGGGAACATAGAGGTAACAAACACGTCCCTCACATTGAGATGAACTTGAGTTGAGCTCGCACACAATTACCCCCCTCCCCGAACCCTCTCTCCCATCTCTCTTTTTTATCTCTTTATGCTCCTCTGTCTCTCTCCCCACTCTCGCATATAGAGGCTCCACTGTGCAGCTTTGCACCGAGTCCCCTTCGAATGCGGTGCCGGGGGCCCAGACGAGGGCCTTTCCCTCTTGGCTCTCGAGCTAAACAGAGAAGATGGTGTTATCAGAACGCTGCCAGGAGGTTGTCAGCTTGCATTGGGCCGGGCTGAGCGAGCGGCCGGTTGGCGGATGCGTGTCCGTGCCAGGCTCCCAGCGCCTTCCCTCCGTGGACATCTGCTGTGTGTGGAAACGCTGTGCAGTTTGTCTGTGGTTGCATCTTAATCCTCCATCTCTTCGGCTGCAGCCGCGCCTGGCCGGGCAAACCAGCAGCTCTGCTCGCCTTGCTTGTATTAATTGCCCTTGCCTGGCTCGCTGTTTGCTTCTGATTACACTCATTAATTTCAATTCCCCAGGAAGCCACCACCACCGTAGCTCCCTTTACACACACACACAATCTTACTCCCACATAAATATATAAACGCATATTTGCACCGACACAACCTTGCATGTTATGTACAGTGAGACATTTTTTTTAACATTCTTTAAAATAGATTTCTTTGTCTGTACAATTTGCACACCTATGTGACCCGGCAATAATTATTCAAAATAAATGATTGCATTCGAGTGGGAGGGAATGTTTGTTTGAGCAATGCTCTGAATTTTACACTCCATATCTTTTTAAAATCTTAAATAAGTTTTAATGTCATACTTTTAAAATTGAATTAATGCCAAACTATGAATCAATAATTCTGATTTATATCAACGGCATACAGTTGATGGGATTTCCCGATCAAACATGAACTTTGTCTGAGTCTCTGCAGGATTACCACTTACCTGAGATATAAGTTACGTATTTGTGTACTCATCAGTACACCGCCGGCTCATCCGATAACAACAAGAAAGTTGTTCTGAGCTGCTGGTCATAAGTCATAGCCCTCATCTCACCAGGTGGACCACATGTGGTAAACTCCCAACATCTGGGCTGGCAGGGTGGCCTAGTAATTACAATGCTACAGATTTTGTTCAAAATTGCCAGTAAAAATCCACATCACACCATATTATTACTTTTGACTCATTAGATTCATTAGAACTCAAACGCAAACACTTTCCTCACAGCAAATGTAGCATAATCAGCTAAAGTGCAGCAGCTTAGTGGCATTACTGGTGAGGGAAGCCTCCCCCTAATAGACAAATAGGGAGCTAAATGTGTGGAAAATAAATAAAGCAATTGCAGTATTTGTCACAGAAACACACACCCTTGATTCAGGATGATGCATTACAGTCACATAGAGTTTTAAAATATGGTGTTGCACACATGTATTTGTTTCATCAATCATTAAGTGTTCTTTTATGTACTTTAAAGTTGAGAATGACGTACTTAGTGAAGCTGCTACTCCTCTTCAGCAGCGGCTAAGTTGACCTGAGGGGCCAGTCAAGTCCTCCCATAATGCAGAGCTCTGTGGCCTCTTGCCTTCTGTCACCCTATCACCTCGGAACCTGGGATTTTCTGGAAAAGTGGGGCTTCTGGACTGACTCATCGGACAGCTGTACCTTAAAGGGCCTCACGGGGGCATCGCCTCCAGGGTCACTACTCTGGGCTGTGATTTGACGGCCAGGCACAAATAAAACCCCCTGAAGCTTGACAACTTCCTCGCTGAGCCCACGTAACCCAATTAGGGAACCGTCCCACAGTCGGAGAAAATGAAAACATTCCGGAGCCATATTCCCGGGACGGCCGTGGTCGTTTATTTAATCCATTTCTTTTTTCGCCCTCTTCCAGAGATTTTTCTTGGACTGATTTCAATGATCCATCAAGGAGTGACTCAACAACTCAAATACCAGTGGGCTGCAAATATACTAAACTCCTGTCTGCGCTGAATCCAGAGACAAGTACCTCACATCGTTACGTTAACCCACGGCTATCTTTTGAAAGGATATCCAGATACTGAGGTTGCCTCAGCTGGGCGGGTGCTGAAAGCCTATACGTTACCCAGAGTGCAGTGCAGGATGCGGGGCGACTGCAGATGCT